GTATCACCATAGTTCTCATTCTTTGCTATCAGATATGTCAACAAAGTATGAGGTAATACAATTCCTACTGGAAATTTAGTTTTATTCATAAATAAATGTTTTAAGAAAGGGTAAGGGGCTCGGCACCTATGGCTCAAGTGGCTAAGTCGCCAGCCACATATACCTAAGGTGGCGGGTTCGAATCCAACCCAGGCCCGCCTAACAACAATGATGGCTGCAACCAAAAAATAGCCAGGCGTTGTGGCAGGCGCCTGTGGTCCTAGCTACTTGGGAGGCTAAGGCAGGAGACTCGCTTGAGCCCAGGAGTTGGAGGTTGCTGTGAGCTTTGATGCCACTGGCACTCTACCCAGAGGGATAGCTTGAGGCTCTGTCTCAAAAAACAAACAAACAAACAAACAAGTGTCTTGCCCAAGGTCACACAGTTAGCCTCAGGTTTCTCATCTATGAAGAGGGGCTAATAGGACTTACCCCATAGGGTTGTTGCCAGAATTAAATGAGATGATGTTTTTTAAGCTTAGTGCCTGAAAGCATACGGAAAGCACTCAGTAAAGGACAGTTTCTGACATTGTTGGGTTACTGGAGTTTTGAGATCACTGTTATTACTGAATAATGAATAAATCATTGGAGGTTACATTAGAGTCAGGAATCCCATTAGCAGGCTGCTGTTGGGTTCTAGAGGAGAGTTGGTGATGGCTTGGACCTGAATTCTAGTTATGGGGATGGGGGGGAAGAGGCAAATTGCAGAGATATTTAAGAGCTAGGCGTGGCAGGAGTTATCTAATTAACTGAGGCATCCTGGATAATTCCCAGTTTCTCATCTGGGTACATAGATGGTGAGGCTGTCACAAGACAAAAAGACTAGGGAGAGACTCAGCGCCCATAGCACAGTGGTTACAGCGGCGGCCACATGAACCGAAGGCTGATGGGTTCCAACCTGGCCCAGGCCAGCTAAACAACAATAACTGCAACAACAACAAAAGTAGCTGGGCGATGTGGTCGGAACCTGAAATCCCAGCTACTTGGGAGGCTGAGACAAGAGAATTACTTAAGGCCAAGAGTTGGAGGTTGCTGTGAGCTGTGACACCATGGCACTCTTACCAAGGGCTACATAGTGAGACCGTCTCAAAAATAAAAAGACTAGGGAGAGTCAGGTTGGAGGGAGAAAGTGGTAAATTCAGTTTGGGAACCTCAAACTCGGCACATCTCCTAGTAGCTCACTGTGCCCCACTATGCACTGTCACTCAGCTTCTGGGGAGGTATCAAGCAGGCGGTAACAGAAAAGTGGTGTGGGCTAGTAAGAGATAAGGAAGTTGGCAACATTTTAGATGGCATTGAGCTGTGGGAGATGTACACAGCCCAAGCGTGGGGAGGATAAGGCCCATCAGGGATGGGGAGAGAGACAGCCTCTGTGTGAAAATTAGATACACAGTTAGAGAGGTGGGTAGTAAACCAGGAACATGTTGCTCTTGCAATTCATGAGAAGGAAGGATTTAAAAAAGAGGAAGAGAGCCACAAAGTCAAAAGCTTTACTGAGATCAAGCAAGATAAGGATAAATATTGGACACTGGATTCAGCAACAGGGAGGTCACTGGTGACCTTGTCCACAGCCGTCAAGGGAGTGGTGGGTACAGAAACTTAGCCAGGATGGGAGGAGTAGGTGGTTGTGTGAGGAAGCGGAGATGGACATCTCTTTAAGAACTTTGGCTCTGAAAGGAGAGAGATAGGGTGAGGAGTGGGGTACTTAGGAGAGAGACACAGAGTGCAGGAGGGGTCATTTCTTTTTGTAGTTATTATAAGCAATGTTATATTGAAATATACAGAAAGTATAAGTCCTAAGTATACAGTTTGATACTTTTTTTTTTTTTTGTAGACACAGTCTCACTTTGTCGCCCTCAGTAGAGTGCCGTGGCATCACAACTCACAGCAACCTCCAGCTCTTGGGCTTAGGCAATTCTCTTGCCTCAGCCTCTCAAGTAGCTGGGACCACAGGCACAGCCACAACACCTGGCTACTTTCTATTGCAGTTTGGCCGGGGCCAGGTTTGAACCCTGTATATGGGGCTGGCGCCCTACTCACTGAGCCACAGGTGCCGCCCCAGTTTAATACATTTTCACAAGGGAACACACCCATATAGGGTCAGGAAATTAAACCCAGAACAGGGGATAGAACATTACCAACACCCTGGAAGACCCCTGTCACAACACCTCAAGGGTGACTACTGGTCTGACTTCTATCACCTTAGGTTAGTTTTTCCTGCTTTTCAAATTTTCTATCAAGGGAATCATACATACGTCCTCTTTTTTGTATTGCTTTCACTCAACATTATATCTGTTAAATTCTTCCATATCAGCTCGGCGCCTGTGGCTCAAGTGGCTAAGGCGCCAGCCACATACACCTAAAGTGGCGGGTTCGAATCCCCAGCCC